CCTTCCGTCCCGGTGTCCTCATCTGGCTGTCAGTCCTGCTGGCCTCTTTTGCATGCCTTGCTAATTACCAGCTTCTCAGCCTAATTAATGCTCCCCGGCTGGGCTGCCCCACCTCCTGCTCCCCTGCCCTCATTCCTAGTCCAGGCCAGGGAGCAGCAGGTGTGGGAGCCCTGGGCGACAGCCTGGCAGACCCCACACAGGCCGTCCTTCACTTGGATGGGGCCCCGCTGAGCCAGGGGGCCAGTACCGGCCATGATGGGCTTTGCTGAGCCAGCTGCCCATGCATCCCTTGCTGGGGGTCCATCACACATAGCAGCCCCGACTGGGAGCTCCTGCGGGCAGGCTCGGGTGGGGTCTTGGAGCTCCTGGGGTACACTGGCGGGCAGCGAGGTCTGAAGGGCACAAGGACCGACAAGTGAGGGAAGGATGAATGAATGGCAGGTGCACCTCTGTCTGAGTCACAGGGGAGGAAGGGAGGGTACTTGGAGGGGTGACTAAGTGATTGCCTGACTGAATGACTGACCAGGCGGAAGAACCGGGTCTCCTGATGCCTGCTGGTACACGGGCGGCCTGGGGAGCTGGCAGCAGAAGGTCCAGCTGCGTGGACATCGGGCACTACACGCTTGACCCAGAGTCAAAGGACCTGACGAGCGAGGGTGCTGATGGGCTCCTGGCGGGTTTCGTGTCAGTTTCTCAATAACCAGGGCTGGGCTGGGCATGTCAGTTTACATAAACACCTTACCAAAACTCCGGCTGTCTTCACACGGCTGTCCGGGAAGTGAGGGCGGTGCTGGGGGCACCCATGTGTCTTTATCAGACCACCCCTCTCCAACCTGTGCTCTGCACACCTTGTAAAGGCCCAGGTCAGCATGCTGGGCTCTGTGTAGGGGTGGGCAGGAGCCTGGCCATGCAGATGAAAGCTACAGTCCGGCGGGGTGGGGGGTCTGAGAGCCAAAGCTCTGGTGCCCACAGCAGCCCCTGGGGGGTGGGGTGGGGGTGCTGGTGCTGAGTCCAGCACCCAGCACTCAGCTTCGCAGGGCCAGCCTAGACTTGTGTCCCTCCTGCAGTAAGGCACTGCCTCGGAGATGCCTGGCCTCAGGGCTAAAGCACTGCTGCGGGTGGCCTGGAAGCCCCCAACCTGGGAAGCTGCTGGTGGCCTGGACCTCTGCTTCCTGGAAGGCCCTCCCTGGACTCCTCCCAGGCCTGGCAGAGCTCTTGCCTCGGTGTTGATCGCCAGCTCAGCCCCACTGGACCCTGTGTCCCTTCACTGGGAAGATAGCATGGATGGATGAGGAGCCTGAGAGGGGCACACTGATGTGGCTCTGAGCTTGTCCTGCTGGGCGGGGTGCATTCTGCTGGCCACGGGCCATGTGGTCAGTGTGGCCAAGGCCCAACTCATGGCCTGTGACCTCACTGAAGCCAGAGGGGGCGGGGCTTCCTTTCTCTAGTGTGGCAACCCCAGGGAACAGTCTAGCAGGGTGGACCTCTTTAGCATTCAGGGACCCTCTGAGGAGTGCACGCATGGTCATCCCGAGGCTGGGTGCATTCCGCGCTCCACGGGCCATGTGGTCAGTGTGTCCCTGCTTGCAGACACCCCATCTTTACTGAAGCTGGGGGTGGGAGGAGCAGGGGCTGCTACCTTTCTCTGGTGTAACATCCCCAGGGTCTGGTCTCCTGTGGTGGATCCCCATGCCGGGTCTGAGGAGTGGACGGCCCTCCCGGCAGAGCCGGGTGGTCGCCAG